AAAACTCCTGTGGACCCTGTATAAAATGTAGAGGTATAGAAAGCATACATATTTGCAAAAAAATTCAAGGTTTGTTTTCCCATTGATATGATTAGTCATGGGGAGTTTTATATTCATTTTTCATTAATGTGGCATCACGCGGGGGCGTGCCCAGCGTGGAGGCGGAGCCCTGGTAGAAGGGGCGGGGCCTCACCTTTGTAGTCCCAGCTGTCCCGGCTGCTAGATGATGAGCCCCAGCTGGGCAGGGCCTATAAAGGCACACTGGACACGCTCCGATGGGACGAGCAGGGCCACCCCCAGAAGGGGGGGGGAGTTTTCGCTGACAGTCCCGGAGGGGATTACAACTGCATAAGGTTTTCTTTTTGCCTGTCCCATCATGCACTTTCACCGGGTGCAGGCATACACACGCATTTCTGTCACGCACTACTTTCTTGTTTTGTTTTTGCCTTACGCGCCCTGCCCACCAGACTGGATCCTGCTAAGTAGGGTAAGCCCAGCCTGGAGGTAACGGAGCACAGCAGTACTCTTTTGCCCTTTTGTTGCATTTTTTCCCCACTCTTTTTGTATTTTTTTGGGGGGGGCCTGCTAACCTCACACATTAGCGTTGAATTTTTACCAGTGCTCACACGGCGCCTCCTACTACACCCTGTCACATTACTATGAAAACTCTGTTCTCTTCCACTCCACCTGAATTAGTGCATTGTCTCTTGATGAGAAACTTACTTCGGGGGCTTCTCTTCTGGCAGCCTGTATTCTTTCAGTTGCTTCTGATGATAAAGACCAGCATAGATGTAATAAAATATATGAAAATTTTTCTCTCCACTGAAAAAAAAAAACACATGAAATTTAATCAAGCAGTAATACACTGTTCACATTCTAGGTTTATTAAACAAAGAGACAAGTATATGGTAAGTATTCCAAATTCTCAGCCCCTCAGTACAGACTTCTAAACTTACACATTGCATAAACACCCTCCCACTTGACAAGATGCAAATAATCCAGGATGCAAACATCCTGCCTAGACTCTAAATGGAGATTTTACAAATGACGGCATGTCTTTTTTTCCATGTGTCTATTCGTTTAATTCAAATGTTTCATTCTGCATTTTCTTAACTCGAGCCTTTTGTTCCAGTCATGTGAAATGCTCAGTTTCATCGTGATCCAGAAACATTGATGGGATTATGCAGGACTGACCAATTAATGTGATTCTGTCGCCTCAAATGTTGGATCAATTGTTTTGTCCTCCTCATGACAGAGAGTCGCTGGCGTTGTTTTACAGCACTGCAAACATCTGCAGAAATCTGGATTTTGATATTTACAATGACCAGTCGCATTCAATCAAACGACAGTCGAATGTGCAAAACGATCTAACAATATAAACTCCAATGTGACAGTTCTCTTTTCCTGTCCTTCTTAAGTGTGTGCTGAATCGTTTCACAGATTATTAATTATTATCAGAGGTCCTTTGGATCATTCATTTTCTGGTCACTTCTTTACTTACATAGCCTGTTTAATGACTCTCGATTTTTCCAGCAGGTACTCTGAGATCTTGGCTCCCATCACAGCACCAGTTGGGGTGAACTTCATTTCCAAGTACTTCCCAAAGCGACTTGAGTTGTCATTTATGGCAGTGCAGGCATTCCCAAAGGCCTCTACAAGGGGATTAACCTGCAGAATCTTTTCCCGGAGAGTCCGATTGTTCGCCTGTAATGACACGTTGTAAAATGCTGGAGTTGATTCATTTGATCTATGTCAACTACAGTGTTTAGCTTTAACACTAACTTAAGTGGGAAGCTCGGAAAAAAAAAATTAATACCGAGGTTTGAAAGTAAAGTTAACACTGTGCTGGGGGTTAGACTCCTAAAGTAGCATCATATGGATGTCTCTGAAGAAAAGTATTTCTATCCAAAGCTCATTGGCAGAGGGGTTGGAATGTAGAATTCTACGCTTTGGTAAAAAGTGAACATTAACTTAACTTTTAGTGTTAAGGGATACTCATAACATCATTAGTACACTTACAACTGTTGGGTGCCAAGAGTCTGTGCTTTATCTTCCCACTCAGTGGCTGATATGATTGATCAAAGGTCACTGAGAACGATCCAGTCTCTCGTCTACATGACATTCGTCTCTCGTCTAAAATCATTCCCCTCCCACTTGCCTAGACAAGTTGGATGGTAGGACAGACCGGGACAATACCCTCTCTTTAAAAACCCACATTTTACACTTCCATACTGGACGTCTCAGCCCTCTCTGTCACAGCTGTGAAATTTTGTTAAGTGTGTGGTTTTAAGTGCACTTTTGTTTGCCATCCATTCTAGCATGATTGCTGTACAAACGAAGGGCTAAACTGTAATATACTGTAGGTTTTTGGAATATTTTACTAGAAATGCTGACAAACAGTATGAGAAGATGGAATTAAAAAAATATTTGGTAATTATATTTTTGTATGCTTACAATATGGTTTGTGCGACTTTACTTTTATATCCATCATGTATACACTTCAAGATGTGTTGTTACTGATGCACAGTAACAGATATCATTAAACGATGGTGAATTGCAGGCCTAGTAAGAGGCTTTCATCATATGTCCATACCTTTCCTAAGAATGTAAGATGCTGAACAATCAAATGGGCACTTTCTGTCTTTCCAGCTCCACTTTCTCCGCTGATGATGATACACTAAAATGGGGGAGAAAGCAGTTGTATTGTATTAAAGGAAACTACTGTTTCAAATGCTTGTGAGATTCTTTGAAGATTTTCCGTCATTAAGCATGGCTTTCAAACTAATACTAAGACGCTGGCCTTATGATTATACAAACTGCGCTTATTAAGAGCTAAAAAATAAAACTTTGGTCTTTGGAGAAAAAAACACTTCAAACTTTACAATAAGCACATGCATTTTTAATGTAGTTTCATTGAAGTACATCGTTACCTATGGAGTTAATGTAATATATGAAATGCACTTGCAGTGTATTCATGGCATCTTCATCTGATTGCCTTAGTTACTGTAATTGTTAATGAAAATCTGTACAACAGTTTTAAGTATTAAAACGAATAGCCCACAAAGCATGTTTTAAGAGCATGAAGACTACAAATTAATTTTAAGTAGTCACCTTGATTAATGCCATAAGTTAGCTCTTAAGACTATGAAAGCTAATGCATGGCTCTCACTTGCTTGCATTAGGACATTGATAATTGAATCTATAGCTTTCACGGAATTAATTTAACTGAATTTGATTAATACCAGCCCTATAATAACCTGCCATCTTAAACTTGAAACAACTGTTTTGAGCAAATTACTATTCACAATATTATGTTTACAACCTAGTTTCTTTATATCCCATCATCAATGATTTTCATTATGGTCACATCTTCCTTTTTCTCTAAACCATTAAAAGAATCTTCATACATGTAAGCAAAGTGGGGTACAGTCCAATTTACCCAGATTCATACTGACACTTCCCAGAGGTTGTGTCACACAATAACGGTGTGCAGCTAATACCTGGTCTTTGCAGAATGTTACCATTCCTTGATAAGCAGCGTCTGCCGTCGCAAAAATATGAGGAGGGTTTGATGAACGCCTGACTCCATGATAAAGCTTAGAAAACTGAAAAAGACAAATTCATAAACAGTTTTCTGAGGGTGGCAACGGTTGGCTTGAGGCACTGAGTCCCTGGACTCACTCACAATAATAATAATAACAATAATAATAATAATAATAATAATTAATAATTCCTTACACTTATATAGTGCCTTTATGACACTCCACTCAAAGCGCTTTACAGGTAATGGGGACTGTGCAGCATCCACCTGCATGAAGCGACGGCAGCCATAGTGCGCCAGAACGCTCACCACACATCAGCTCTCAGTGGGGAGGAGAAGGGTTACACCCCTATTCTTTTCGAGAAACACCCTGGGATTTTTAATGACCACAGAGAGTCAGGACCCCGGTTTTACGTCTCATCTGAAGGACAGCACCTTTTTACTGTACAGTGTCCCCGTCACTATACTGGGGCATTAGGACCCACACAGACCACAGGGTGAGCACCCCCTGCTGGCCCCATTAACACCTCTTCCAGCAGCAACCTTAGTTTTTCCCAGGAGGTTTTCCATCAATGTACTGAGCAGGGTTACACCTGCTGAGCTTCAGTGGGTTGCCAGTGGTGAGCTGCAGGGTGACACGGCTGCTTATCCATACTAACTATAGATCTTTATCTGACTTATAAAATATTGGGAAGCAATTCACACTATTATTACACCACTGTTAGGTTTAGCATGTTTAACCTATATCTGAAGTCTGGGTCAATAAGAAAACGTTAATCTGTTTTGTATGCATTGAAAATTTGTGAAACATATTTCCTTTACACCATGTGTGCACAGACCATGTGTGGTCTGAAACATAATGAGAAATTTGACTTATTATCACAGCTTTACTCAGCCCTGTGTAAGGGCTTGTAACCACCTTTACTGGTTTACTGCACAAAAGGCCTCATTACCAGCACTGAGGTGCCAAATCTGACCTAAGTGAATGAGGCCTTTGTGTTGTGAGACAAGACTTCACTGCACGTCAATCAGCTCTTACAGAATCGACTTTATGCCGATACCTCGAAAGTGAGAATGTTGACGTATTTCAAAGCACTCCTCTTTCAGTACAAGCCAGTGGTGACCTACACAGAGCCTGGGTCATGACCTACAGGAAATTGGTAATTCTACTTCCTGTGGGGGTGTTCACCTTCCTGTCAGAACACTGCTCTTTAAGAATATGATATGTTGACCCTTTCCATGCTATATGGTAAGCTTATTTATGTTACAAATGCAATCATTGTGGTCACCTCACAACCTTCATTCATCGAATTATGTCGGACCCCCAAGCTCATTTACATTCTATGGGTGACAGGGCCTTCTCTTGCTACACCCAAAAAAGACTCAAAACCTTCTTCTTTAGAAGGGCTTTCGTTTAACTGCTTTGCTTTCCTGCTATATTCCAAACTCTTATTGTAATTGTGTAATTCTGCTGTCACCTCTCATTGTGTTTTTTTTCCTTGCTGTAAAGTTGTTTGTGAAGCCACATTTAAATAAAATAAAATAAAGTTTATTATCATCAATGTTTAATTATAAAGCTCCATTTTTGTTTTAACTTTTTGTTCTGCATTGATAGTATGGACTAGCTGTTGTGTTGTACTATTCATTCTTTACCTTTTATTAGACTTTATTTCTCAGTACCTGTGTAACTCACTATAAAATTGCACATCTTGATTTTTCACTGTAAATCACTTTGGATAAAGGCATCTGCAATCACATAAAGAATTAAAAAATCCCGTGCTCTTATTTGATGAAGCAAAGTTTCTGCTTAACGCTGAAACTGTCTTTGTACATTACGTACAATTTGGAAATCCAGAACAAAACCGCACGGGGCACCAAAAGTTTGTATATACAACTAACACCTTAATAAAAGGTGATATATGTTGCACATTCACTCTTTATCTTGTTAATCTTAGTCCTGAAGGCCAGGGGTCCAGGAGTCTTCTGATCCTTGTTATCCAAATCCATTATAATTGGATCAATTTTTCAACTTAATTGGATCGCATGTAATGTCTTCCAGTTATTCTATGACTTTTCAATTGGAATGATGTACAGAACGTGCCAATGTAAGGTAAGCAATGACTTACCTGTGGTGAGTAGATATTCAGATTTTGGAAAGGATTTAATGCAATTAGAATGTCCCCAACATATGTATAGATCTGAAGGTCTGCATATCTCTTCTGCAAATGAATGATGATGGTTTCCTATATTAAGATAAAAGTACAACTGGATTTAGACATGAACTAATGTGACTTCCAATTACAATTAATTATTTCTGAAATTATATGTAATGATTAAGCAATTACACAGAATTATCGAAATATTCATATTTACATCACTATGATTATGCAAGCAATAAGCAAGTGTACAGCAGCTGAATCATTTTGAAAACACAAGCCCAAATGTTCAAAGACATACCTCATCTAAAACCTCTAGATTTACCAAGTCATCATCAAGGCAGGTGTCCACTCTCAGAGTTTTCCTGGTGCTGATTCTTCCATGCCTACGCAAATCAGAAACAGAAATGTTTATATCACGTATGATGGTATGTGTGCGTCAATCAAGCCACTTCCCTTTTCAAACCATTTATTTTTGTGACTTGTTGTATACAAGACAAATGATCTCATTTGAATCTTTCTCCCGGGGGGCTTGTTATTGATTATCATAAGTTCTTATTTAATACAGTGTAGACTTTCATTTTATCACCAATTGACCTTGTGTTCCCCCCTGAGGACTCAGATGCCGAGAGATCAGTGGAAAAGGCAGCTGGCACATTATGAACGTGTTCATGCTGCTGCAGAGAACAGGAACTTGTCAAATGCACCCCCAGGGTACCTCAGCCAATCAAAGAACATTATTGAACGTGTGCAAGTGATTTAACACCTAGGGCTTCGAGAACGGCCTCACTGTTGTTGACCAACAACTGCCTTACATGTGGAGGCTGCAAGCTAATTTCCCAACACACCGAAAAGCAATGCATTTGGATACTGATGAATACTGACATTCACAGCGAAGGACGCAAAAGAGATGCTTTAAAAAACACTGCTAGGAGCGACGCCTGAATGCAGTGCTTCATTTCAATTTTTTTTATATATTTCTAGCTCTCACCAAGGAGATGTTGGTTTTAAGCGATACTGTGTTTATAAAATGTTACAATCCCCCAAGCTTATTGGAAAAACTATGAGCGGTGTTTTATGAATAAATATTCTGTGCTACAAATGAATGTGAAAATCAAATGCATCAGTTTAGAAACATATTACCAGAAACTGATCATTTTCCAAACATTTCCATTGGAGATTCTTATAGGACTTTGCAACATGATTTGAGTAGGTTTCCATAATGCTAGGTTTGCCCGGCTGCCCATGTGGAGCCTAATTCAAGCGCCGATCTAATTCAATCAGTCAGTAAACTGGAAGGACACGGGTATTTCTTCTGCAAGCCTCTTTAATCTGATTATACCCTGCCTCTCTAAGGACAGGACTAACAAGATGCATTTCCACCACAATTTGAACTGTAGTAAACAAACTGGTTCCGACAGCGTTAACAAAGAAACAGTCGTTCACATCAGCACTGGAGAGTTCACCAGGCAGGGTGATGTCGACTGGCCACAGCACCATCTCCCCGGGGAGGAGCCATGTCCTCAGACCTACCCATAGCCTGCTGGGAAACCATTAACCGTTAACGATGCTAGGCAGTCAGACTGTTTCTGTCGGCAGGTGACAACGGGAAACTCAAAAACAACCGGTATTCACCATCATTTGGAAACAGTCACAACAAGAATGAAAATTACTTTGCTTTGAGGGCATCTACTACTTATTTTGATTAGAGAAGATGTAATGGAAATGTACCTCTAAAAATACAACCTTAAGGTTAGTAATTGTTATTGGTTTGTACAGCGTGATGTCTTAATGAGTCCATTTACTCTTTAGAGAGCATTTATTAACCGTATCAAAAATACACCTTAGGGAAAGCTAATTTTAAACATGTTCTAGTCTTGCCTCCTATGTGGAATGGAATAAAGATGGAACTTACTGCACATGACAAGCCTTTCCAATAAAGATTCTTTTTTTTTCCTATTAGTGCAGGATAATCAGGGCAATCACTCAAGTCAAATTATTTTCACTCACAAAACATTATTTCAAAAGCAGCTCAAATGGACTTTTCATTTGTAGTAGTTTGGAGGCGAACAGAGATGTACAATAGTGAAATTCTGCCACCCACTGGTCAGCTGCAATAAAGAAGCTCTTAGCTGGGGTATGTGTGCTGCCTATTAAGCGTGAAATGTTTCAAAAGACCTGGGGGATCTTCTGGTGTCTGCATTAATTTTGTTTCACCTACATTTGACTGCCTAGTCTTAATGTTCTCTTTCTCCAAGGACCCCAGTATAGACTGGTGTTCCACCCCACGAGGGAACTATCTGTGGCTTATGTTGCAGAGAGAAATTCCAGCTTGTGGTATCAAATACAAGGGTAAGAGCCTTTTCTGATGCATGGATACTTAGAAGAAAAAGTCACAAACCACAGCGGAATTATAAGCAGAAGTTGAAGGTTTGAACATTGACCTTGTTACAGTATAAGATGCTGATCAATTTACTCTAGTATATAAGATATCTTGTTTAGATACTAGTAGGCCACTCATCTTGAGAAGCAGTCAAGGTTTTTGTTTAGCTTTTTGAACCAGTTCAATTGTCTTCGATCTTAAAAGTCCACAGCCAAAATAAGGACACACTAAGAATCTCCTGACTGGAAGGTGAGTTTGTGTGAGAAAGCTCTGTGACAGAGTGAAAAAACACAGGGATCCTTGAAATAGCACAGTCAGGAGAGGAGGGGTGTTCAGTGAAGCTGAACAATGTTTCCCCAGAGTGCAGAACACAGCTATGGTGCCCCATTCACTAGCAGATCTTTTTATCTTTGCAAGTCTAAGAATTTAAAGCAAATATCAATTAGCATTATCATAAAAAGTCATATCGGTTTAGTAACACGCATGTGGACTCAGATAAAAAAAATGTAAAAAAAATTATACTAAGTACCATTAAAAATTTTAAAAGCACCATGTACTCATAGGCTGTTAATTTAACCTCACTGTAATCCTCAGAGTCACTAATGTCTTTGCATCCCTCTCCAGTTAACACTCTCCTGTTTTGTAACACACTAAAAACAATGAAATATGTTAACACCCACGTCTTCCTTTTCTGCCTGATGTTGGATGTATGTATTGTAAAAATTGCATCAATGCTGGGTAATAATCCACTTTTGAAAGCTTTCCAATGATTAAAAGAAAGGTGCAGTGTGTTCAGAGAAACCAGTCTTGTCAAGGGTAAGTGCTTTATGTTGATATAGGAGGCCACACCCTGCTCAGATGTCTAGCTTTCTTGGTAAAGTATTGTGCTACCATAATACTTCAGAGCATATGACTGAGGTATGCCATAAGAAACTTGACAGTTAATTATTTCATATCATTTTAAAAACGCAGAAAATTTAAGAGAATCTAGGGGTTTAGAAGTATGCACAATATTATTCTCTGCCTGATCTTCTTTGTTCATACTATTTCCAAACTTTTGAACGGTACTGTATACGTAACTAATTTCTTAGCACCACCGGTAGCACTTTTCAATCCAAGGTCTCCTCCAAATGCCCTCGAAGCATCACGATCATCTTCAATGTTATGCATATCCTTTTAGGAGAATATAAAAGAAGAGGAGCCGCCCAGTACTCAGAGGGAGCAGTGCGGTGAGAAACAGCTTTGTCTCTCTGATAGGCACTCTGATACTGATCTGCGGCCAAGGGCACATACTTGGTTTTGCCTCTGCAGCCTGATTCTTGCTGCTCGCGGATGAGGGTGGCAAGCTGCTGTTTCAGAGCCATATCTTTCCCATGGGCCTGCTTGATGAAGGGGTGCTCCAACAGGTGAGTGACAGAAGGGCGTTTCTCAAAATCCTTGATCAAGCACCTAGAAAAGGAAACGGCGACAGGAAAATCAGTGCACCCGTAACAGAGCGAGACTACAGCTACATAAGCACATTTGCCATTTCACTACTCCACTCATTTTTTATTAAAACAGCGGTGCTGCTCAACAGTTTTATTAAAATGACCATTTATTTAGTTCCTGCTGCAGCATTTTAACATGATATTCACAGATTTGCCACCGCAAAATTTTATCAATCACTCCACTTCCAGCAGCTTTAAGATGACACCTTTCTCATCTTTGAACAACCCAGAATGTGAGAATGTTTTTTAACACTAGCCATCGAGGCTGAAGGAGAAAAAAAAGTATTTCCATAATACCAGCATGCATTCATAGAAGAGATAGCCTTACAATTAATCACCACTTTCTGCTAAAACATTCTTAACTTTTAGAATAAACCAGAAGGCTAAAACCATAGTTCCTATCTAGTTAGGAGACTACAGCTTTAGAGCCCAAGTTAATAATCAAATTTCTTCATGCATAAAAGTTTACTACCATTTTTTTCTGCTCACCTTCGCCAAGCAGCTATCTCTTTCGAAACAAAGCCTCTGGACAGGTAGTGCAGGGAAGACTGTCACCAAGCTCTGTACTCACTTCTGTGAACTGTCCCACCCCTTCCTAATGACCACACCACCTCTGCTCAAGTCTGCTCTATTCTTTCCCCCTGATGATAAATATCAGCCTGTTCAGCCTGGTAGGCCAATAAGTCTATCTCTGTCACACTAGCACCAAGCTGCTCCAGTGAGATATGGGAAACACACGTGTTTAGGTCAAGATGGGCAGTACTAAGATTTATTTTCTGTGTATTATATATGTACATGTGTGTACATTACATTCATGTTTTACATTTCACCTCAATCTATGCTAATCTCACATTGATCCTCCAACTACCACATCAGTGTATTTTGCTTTTATTATTTTAAATGGCATCTAAACGAACTCATCATAATAGAAAAAAAAATATTTAAACATCTTTAGATGCATACTAAAGAAATCAATTTAAGAAACCAATCCTACATGCTGTTTGTAATGTGCGTATTTATACAAATGCCCCTGCATTCTACTCTACAAGTAGAAACCTATATGCATGGGTAGATGATATATATATATATCCATATCCATCTCAGCTATCTACATAACAAAATAAAAATAACAAATTGCAAGGTGACACAGAGAGTACAAAGATAAAACAACAAAGAGTCCGACACTTGGTACCTAATCTAGACAGAAATTCTGGTACCTTCTATCAGGGTTTCGTAGCTGGAAATTAATTCTCAGAATTCATTAGTGTCACTACATTAAGCAGGGGTTGTGGCCATTACTGCAATCACACAGCCAGGATTCTAAACAGCATTTCCATTTTGTCACAAAGAGCAGCTATTTGGTGCCACAATTATGGGCAATGATGAAGCATTTATTACCGAGTACAAGAGCAGACACCCACACATGCAGGTCTGCCTGAGAGAGCTTTTGAAATTTCACACACACAGCCTGCAACCCCTGATAACATTGTTTGGGTTTTACTACTACTGAGCTGCAAACCTGCATTCTTTTTGTCTAATTTTCTAAAAAATATTTTTAGTTCATCAGAAAACAAAGACAAATTTTGAAGAATTACACGTACGCAATTAAAAATCAGCTCGCACAAGAAAAAGCAAACATTTTGCTGTGCAAAATCTGTTGCCAAAATGAGCTGGTGATTTCTTGTTGTGACACCGAACATCTTTCACACATTAACAGAAGAGCGAAACAAGTAAATTCATTTTAAATAGCTGCAGTGCTGTTTAAAAGGCAGTAGAACAGTTGCTTCAATCAGTGCGTTGTCACGAGAGGTTTGCATCATGCTTCTGAGAGCAGCTGGGAGCAAAGTTAGATTGTTTTAATTCATTCTCCTGAGAAAGCAACACAATTGAGGGTTTCAGATCAAAAACAGCTTTTGACGGAAACAAAACAGTGTATTAACACAGTGCACGCTGCATAGCAATGTGCATAACCAGACCTACTGAAAATTACTACAGAGTGGGAAATCCAAATAAGTCACAGAATCTGATCAGAACTGAATGACAAATGAATGGCACACAGGAAAGCCAGTTCTCGGAATAAGTAATTGGATTTTAAACACCCTTCTTTCACGGAAGAAGAAAGTAAGCTGCAGATTGCATTCTTGACTAAAGCACCAGTGTATTACAATCTTAACAACGGGTTTTAATTCACTGCAATGGTTAAGGAGTACAACACACTGACTTGCCGAGCAAAATAACAAAAGGCAAATTGAATTTGTCTGACAGGGCAGTCACAAAGAATGTGTAGTCTGAACCAAAAACACTAGGTATTTCCAAGGCAACAGCACCACCTATTTGTTGCAGTGAGGGCTTTCCAACAAGCGTTCAATATTGTTCATGGAAAGGCTTAAAAAAGCCAAGTCATAAAAATTACATTATTTTATATATCAACCAAGTCAACCCAAAGACAAGACAGTGCAATACTGTTTATGTCAATATATCAAACTATACCAAATGTACATCCCACTACTTTTGTGTAATAAACTCATAGTGTGTAACAAGACAGTGCAATACTGTTTATGTCAATATATCAAACTATACCAAATGTACATCCCACTACTTTTGTGTAATAAACTCATAGTGTGTAACAAGACAGTGCAATACTGTTTATGTCAATATACCAAACTATACCAAATTCACATCCCACTACTTTTGTGTAATAAACTCATAGTGTGTAACAATGCATGCGGGAATTTAAAGCACATATAGGTACGTATTTTTTCACTCTTTTGAAACTTCTGAAACTTCAGAAACGAACTAAAATACACAAACAGAAAAATTCCAGTTGTTACCAGGGAGGGAATTTTAGGCCCATGCTTAATGAATGTAGTTTATTCTTGCTTCTGTAGCCCTGAAGGAACACAACATGCTACTATGATGCACACAGTCTACACTATTAATTTCACATTGAATGCATCCCTTACTGAATTACTGAATCAACACAAGGTGATAGAAACTAGAAAGACCCTGTACTGCAATGAGATTTAATTGCTAAAATATTTGCCATGTGTATAAGATCTCCACAATTCTCCTCAAAGAAACATACTGGAATGGAATGATGTCAAGACCACATAACCCTATGAGTGAGACAAAACTATTGCTGTTCAAGTCGAGCTTGTTTGCTGGGGGGGTTTTATGCAACGCTAGCACAAGTGTACACGACAGACACATCACAGTAGAAGTGGCGCAGCATATAATAATATATTATTGTTCAATTGTTGTGTGGGGGGGAACTGGTGTTTTTTTTAAGCACTGTGATATACATTCTTTCCCTGAGAGTAACACTGCATACTTAACCCCAGTCAAAATGATTAAAATGTTGTCTGCTTAAAACATCAGGTTTAATGTCTTGTTGATCTGAAATAAAGTTGCTGAACATTGCATTTCATTGTTGTCAAGTACCTCCTGAGAAAACCGTCGACAAGATTACAATGCAAGGATGAGCAGGAACAATTAAAACGGGCACCTATTCTTACAGGGGGAAAAAATCACAAAGGTCAGACAATGCAGAAGGTGCGATCAAGACAGAATTCAATGTAAAAATAATGTTGTGGTTTGCAGCATGAGGTGTTGTGTTATTGATTTTGTACAGATGGGTTTGTCATGCAAAATAAGGCAAAGCTGCAGTATTTTAAATAAACTATGCATAATTCACCTTATGGTCTACCACCATAAGCAGTGAAGTTGATATGAAAACTGTAATGCATGCAGCTACTCAAAGCAAAATAAAAGAAATGACAGACATATCAAAATAAGGCCCAGCATATGGATAATAGACATTATGGATTTCATTCAGCTATTGTTTTTAATTTATCACAACAACGCGGACAGGCTCTGTGCACTGACAAATGCACGACTAACAGAAATAAATGAGCCAATTATCTCTAATGGCTGAAGGTTCACAGCTGTAAAGTCTGATGTTTTCATTATAAATAATGAAATAATACTCAGTTTCCTTTCATGCTGCACTTTGCCAAAAACTGCACAATACTTTAAGCAGAAGGAGGAATAGAAAAAAACCTTATCCACAAATATTTTTTCAGTAAATGAATATTTCTCATTTATATTCTCATCCAGTTACTTACAAAGTACATTCTGCCAAAGATATTAACTACATTTATTTGGCGTAAGCCTTACAGCTCTGCTAGTCACACTATCAATCAATTGATTCAGGACTGATTTCTTTTCTGACCTCTTAGGTACAACTGATGATTCAAAGCTAAATAATGTCTGTCTTCAGAGTTCAGACAGATTTACACAAATTAGAGAACAGAATATATAGTGAGATGGTGATAAAAACACAATAAATCCGCTGACCTCCTGCTACAAATTCTTAACAAAGTCAACATTTGTCAACCTGGAACAATGCATTTCCTTCTATGGAATTAAAAGAAGCAAAATAGGATGAAATTAGCAAAAATACAGCTTAGGATCAAGTAATAGGTTTATTCAACGCTGAAAATAGAAGAAAGAAAACACATTTTGGCCGTGGAGTCTTCTTCAGGTGAAGAAAGCTCCATGAAGAACGCTCCACGGCCGAAACGTTGTGTTTTCTTTCTTCTCTTTTCAGCATGGAATAAACTTATTTCTTGTTCCTTTGCAGCCTATGCATGCTGATGCACCTACCCACCTGAACTACTTCAAAATACAGCTTAGACTACTCAAATTTTAAAACAACACTGATTTTTTTTTTAGATATAGTCACCTTACCTGATTCACCTAACACCTTTCTTAGTCTTTAACAGACCACATTAGAAATCAATAACAAAACAAAAAACACAAAGAAAAAGAGCATTTAAAAAAATACTATGAACATCAAAAGTTTCTTTCATACAATGCAATCAATCCTTCTCTACCTGACAAAAAATGAAACAGCTGAAATTATTCAGTCCACTCTGTGAATGATTATTTACAGTGAAGCTGGTATATAATTAGCTGAATCCATATATATTTTTCACGCTTGTATGAGTCAATATATTCAAATTATGTGTGCTGCTCTGTGGACTGTTCAGCTCATGACTATGTTTGACTTTCAATGAAGCAATAATTTGTTTCTAAAAAATGTACTGATCTGCAGAGTGGCCTAAATACTGTATTTTATGCAGCAAAACATTCAAAAAAGCTTGAACTCTTCTATATCATAAAAGCACTTCAGCAAAAAGGAGACATGTAGCTGGATTTTCTTATATAAAAGTATTTAAAACGCATTTCTGAAGCTTTCAATTATTGTAATTTATTTTACATTAAATAGTGACTGAGGTTAGTCTTATACTTTAAATGATAACAAAGGGAATATTCATAAGATAAAATAAGATAAGATCACTTTATTAGCCATATACAATTTCTTCCATTAGCAATTCATCTTTTCGCACACCCCAGCTTGCTCTCCATAAGGAGTGCCCCTGGAGCAGCTGGGGTTAAGGGCCTTGCTCAGTAGCCCAATGGACTAGGATTCCTCTGCTGGCCGTGGGATTTGAACCAGCAACCTTCCAGCAACAGGCGCAGATCCTTAACCACAGAGCCACTGCATCGCCCCATATTTATTATAAATATTACACTACATTATAGGTCTATATGATCTATGCAGTGTGTGTATGTTATGTAAAGTATTAAGTTACCTCTTAAAGCAATTTCACCCTACCTCTTAATACCTAAAAGAAGTAATTACTTACAAAATAAATTTCTAATTGCAACGGATTATTTTGTCATAGTAACTTTCCCCAACACTGGCCATACCATATGTTTCTGCTAAGAGAACAGAAGTGAATGCTACTGCTGCTCAGGGACTGTTTAGTAAAATTGGCAGCTCTTTTATGAATGCAGTGGAAACACACAACCAGATACTGGGTCAGTGCTCTGAGATTTGCAGATAGCTTGAAGCCTTGTTTTAAACCAAAGCACAAACTTCTTAAGCAATGATAAATTCCTTTTCTGAAATATAATCAAGATAGTATAAAGTAGTTAAAGAAATAATGAAGAAGTATAAAGTACCGATCAATACTAAAGAAATATTTTACAATGCCTTTTACTGGGAAGCATGAATAGTCGAACAGCAAGTTAACGTACAATCTAAATACTAATCAATCAGCATCAGTGGATAATAAATTTATTTGACAACTTTTACAGTTTCAGCTTGGGGTGTTTCATGAGCAGAGATATATGTAATGAATTGTGTGCATAAAGTATTGTAAGTAAAGATTATTGGTTCTAAGTCTCAACATTGAAGAACACGAAGCTAATGAGGCTGAGGGAAAAAAGAATGGAGAGCTTTCTACTAGAATAAACTTGTTTTCTGCTAGTAATTAAATTATATTTTTATATAGAGATTGATAATAAAGCAAAATGTGTCTACAAAACAAACCTGCCTGTTTTGTTTCTGTTCAGATATAAACTGATCTTATTTGCTTGGATCTGAAGGTTTTACCTCCTTAAAGGGGAACTGCAGTCCCATATTTCTCAGTTATTAAATCTCAGTAACAAAATAAATTAATTGCCAGTATAAATTTTTTTACAAATGTTGCCGCAAAGCTCTGGGCTCGCCATGGGCAATTGCAAGAACTGTGACATGATGTGGCCCTTCCTGGTCACTAGTCACTGTAATTTGTCTAATGTCATGAGCAAAGGAGAACTAGTTATGCAGCAGACATTTCACTGCAGAAAAGTTCCAATGCGATCTGCACGCAGAATTAACAAGGAAGTAGTATCTGTTGGCAAAACCATCTCGAAATTGAGAGCGATATACCGTATCTATCAGATTAAAAGAGATGGTTTCACAAGCCTGCTTGTTTACAGTGCAAAAGGACCATCTCACTGGCAGTTTTGTTATCTCGTTCTGAATCACAAAATATGGCACTGCGCATACCTGGAAATGTTGTCTATTTTGTAATGAAATTGGAGGTTTTACATGTTAATGTGCACATTATACTTTTATTGTGGTTTGAAATGCATTGATTAGTACTGATTCTTTCTAACCCTGATATACACTGTATAAAATAGCATTGCAGTTCCCCTTTAAAACCTTGTTACATATTACAGTTTGAACAAGGTGCAACTGAATCATCTGGAGGGATGAAACCTGTAGCTCTGAACTGAGTGATAATTGCAAAAACATCATCTGATAGGAGCTTCTATCTTGTGTTCAGTCATGTTTCCCCAATGAAAGATTACTTTGTACATTTATCACGGGGTTTACATACTTTTACCATGGGTGTGGAAGTTTTGCTGTGGTCTATTTCATTTTCGTTTTACTTTCACTGCACTTTGATTCCAGTTAGATGGGATGCACAGAAATAAAAATAAAAACAACATTCTGACCTACATTCAATGGAGAAGAGGGAAACTTCCAGAAAGAGGAATATCGTTCTGCTAGGTATGTACGTAAATATCATATAAATCAATTACATTTCTGGATGTTTCAGTTTTGGAAACTCAAATTAAAATAAAGTTTTCCCACTGGAGCAGAACAATAATTTTGGAACTACTTATAGAAAAGGAGCATGTTTCCAAAACTGTGATGACTGGAGATATGGCATCCTTCAAAGCGCCACTACAAGGTCAGCTGTTAATGTAATCTTGAAGTTAACTAGGTTTGACAGGACTCATATTGAACAGGATGACAAGAGGCTGAAGGCAGGGGTTTATTTGGTACAGAACCTTTTTTCTTACAAATGGGATTCTTAACTTTTCGGCACTTTACGAAAAAACAATTTCAAAGGTCAACCCACTTTATGCCAAGAGCATACTTGCGTCCAAGACACAAGAGAATGCCTCGTATTCTAAAATCACATTACAAGACGTTTTTAGTCTGAAGTTGTTTTTAGTCTCTACAACCCGACAAATCACGTAGGCAGCAATTTAATGCATGAAGACAATCAACAATGTTTCAACTAAATATCCCATTAATGATTTATAGGTGAATATAAAATTATTCTATGCTAATTGATTAAACCCACAATAATCTACAGCATGTCATATTCTAATTACCACAACAATTTTGTCCTTAATGATGCTGTTGAAATAAGTGCTCCCTGTAGAATTTTCTTGAGAGTTTAATATCAAGTCTCAGAGGACCTATGGGCTTAGCAGTACAGGCTCTTGAGATCACACCACTTCAGTCTTCTCAGGAAAACTTTAGTAAGACCTGACATACTCACTGGGAGATAAAGTGACTGTAAGCACGGCTCCACTGATCTGGACACCGTAAGGTGGGAGGTGGATTCCTTGAAACACCAAAAAAAAACACAAAAAAAACAATTATATTACAGCATTTAAAAACGGGCTAAAACAATACTTCTTTTCTCCACACTGGTCTTTGCCATAACATTTATTTTAGACCGACTGGGAAACTGAAAAGTAAACACAATAAAATGTCTAAAAATGGAAGCTCTGAAGAAAGACTAAATCTGACCAAGCTGACAAAATGTACTGCCATTTAGCTGTATGTCTTTCCATTAGGACACTTTCCACTACCACATGCAACCAAGCAAAGTGTAACCGCATCTCAGTCTTCACGGGATCTTTTTTTTTTGCTGCACTCAGACCTGTGAATGAAAGACATAATTCCAGACGGTTATTGATTACTTGGGAACTGTCAATGAGAGGCAATTGAGTGCTCAGAAGCACCACAGGAACATCTGAAAAACATAATCGCTACACAGACCCAGATGTGCTTACAGATATAACCCAACGACATCTGAGACAGAAAGTTGTGAGGAATCTTCACCTGCAGCCTCTGGTATGGTGTTGTATACATTGTATGTGCAAGTTTAAAATTGGATTAGCTGGAGTGCTTAATTTCTAGAGATCTAACAGAAAACTGCATCCTAATCAGCTTTGCATAGTTCTCTGTCCCATAGAAAGGTCATTAGGAAAGGATGATTTTAGAAGAGAGGGGCAAATATTAGAGAGAAGTCTCCTTGTAATGACTTGAAACAGACTGAAAACATAAAGTAGATCGATAATGATTCATCACAAACCCAATACTCCTATTACACACCAATCTGTGGCTTCATTCGACTAGTGCTCTTAGAGATTGGGACTGCTAAGATCTTAGTAATGCCTAAGATCATTTGAGATACTAAAATAAATGTCAGGCATCATTTGCTGAGTAAATATAGCTCCTTCAGAAAGTGTCTTCTTGTTTATAAGCAGAGTAATTGGACGCAAGATTCATAAACACATGACCAGAGCATTTATAAATCATTCTTTGTTTAAAAAGCTTTTCAGTTTTAACTGTTAGATGCAGTTGAGTGTGGGGTTAAAACTGCTACTGGAGGGACAATCCCAGTGTATGTACTATATCATACTTTTGATATAATATACAGTAGAAAGCCCATATTAAAACAATATAGTCAGGAAAATGGCACGGTGGACTGTACAAAACAGAAATACCAAGAGAAGCCAGGGACACTGCTTATATACAGTAAGTGACAAATGATGTCCCCAAACAGCCCCAAACTGTCTGGCAGAAAGCAGCTGCCAAAGGAAGACAAAAATTATGTGTGCAAGCTATCCCCCTGTCAGCAGCATTTATAAGGGCAATCTATAATAAGACTAGCATCTCAAAAGAAAGGAAAGTTCCAAAGAAACAGACAAAAAAAGGTTCAGTCAATAGCAAATGGAACTAGGACACATCAAGGGCTAGACATATTTTATCTGGACATTATAAAATACATGCAATTTAACCATACTAAATTCAGCAAATCACCTGTGCAAGGTGATTAACACCATCTTTTACCAATATGGATATATCTAGAATTTTCCAATAGAAAATGGCAGGGGTCATTATATCCTG